AGAAGCATGTACAGATCGATTTCGCATAACGGATCTCTTTACTGCTGCGTGTATAAAGTCCAACATGCCTCGTTTACTTCGCCATTGATAGTTTAAGTGACGAGTAAATTAATCGTCTAAGTGGTGAAGACGTATTCCAAACCTTTTATATATTCCTTTATTTTCCTATAGTTTAGGATAAATTTAGATCTTGAAATCTCAAAAAAAAATCCTTGAAACTGCTAAATCTTGCCAAGCCATCTTACTGAGGTATAAATCCGATAGTAAGATCATGACTTTATTTGTAACGAAACCTTCTTCCAACAAAGACTTCTTGGAGAGCTAAACAGTGATCGTTGAGTAATACCATTCTCAATCACCGTTAGCCAACAGACGATTGCTAACGGTTACTAGAAGTTCGATGATCATGTACACAAAAGTCGGAAACCAGTTGCGGAACCAATTTTGCCCAACCACACAAATACCCTGAATGTTTGTAGTAGATACGTAGTAGACATACGTCGTATACACACGTAGTAGACAAATAATGGTTATTCCTGCCCTGTCTACAAGCTCTCGGCATCGCCCCTTCAGTATAACGTCAAGGACTTGTCCTCGTAGAAAGATCGGGCCGAAACGCATTCATATTATCCATACACATAATAACCATTTGCCAATGCTCAAATTTGAGGCAACAATAATCGCTTGTTCATTGTTACCATGACAACGTACCAAAGAGATGCCTACTAACCACCTAGAAATCGCCGCCTGCTAAGGCCGGTCTGTGGCGTGCTCTAAAAGGAATCCAGTGGCGTTGTGCGAGGGATAAATCGAAATAATGCCAAAATCAAGGTATGTTATGTATTTCACTAATAAACGCTTCGTATGTGTTGCACGCCGTCTTACACAGCTGTAGGACGTTCTTCGTCCCACTTTGCCGCTGCTGCTGTTAAAGATTCGAATTCATTATTAGCCTAACCGTACCCTTATACCGAGTTTTGCGAGTCTATATATAGACTCTTTATATATAAATAAATAAAAAAAAATCTTTATATATAAACCTAGCTTTTGTTACCGCTATTCAATAACTATCTAGACGAACGACGTGCCGTTTTCGAGGTTACCACTCAGAATTATAATGACCGCAGAGATAGCGTTAGATGGAAGCGATCTATTTCTTATCGTTCATCCACGTCCGAGTAAAATGCCCTTAGCTTTTTTTTTTTTGGCAAATACACCCTAAGATTCACCTTCTGCTATTCCCACAAAGACTATCAATCATCAGCAAGGGTCTGCCTGAGCCTAGCTATGTATATTGCTTTCTCCAAGTATCTTGCTGACTCTCTACAGCTGCGAGTGCGGATGTCGGATAAGTCTACACAACAGTAATCTCATTATGATTAGGGCACAGCTTTTGTGTGGTAGCTACTTATGGGGCTTTCGGAATTGTGTGGTATGATTCCTGCAAATAACCGAATAAGCTTTACTCTATGGAAAATAGGATGAGCTAGCTTTCGAAAGCAAAGTCCAACTGCGTCGCAGTCTACACCTGTTAATTCCTATTATTCCATAGCACTGCATTGATTGATTGATGGTATTTGTCCTTTATATATGCCATGTCAGCCACGCGAGCCCTTTCAATTAACCTGCAAATACACGTCACTCGGAGCAGGTATCGCTGACATATTCTTGTCAAATTCTGAGCAGCAAATTTTAGTGAAATGTCTGCATTTGAAAGTTGTCCAAGAACTTTTACATAGTGTCAAACGTGACTTAGCCGTTAGTCTGTTTGACGATACCGATCTGATGATGTAATGAGCACCTTAGAGAGCGTAAAATTTTTGTCTTGCATGCAACTGTCGACGCCCTCAGGATTACGATTCCGATGGACGTAATACCGTCCTAGGTACGATAAAAGTTCCAAATTCCAATCGAAACATCACTATAAGCAAATATATTTTCCATTCCAGGGCAGTTATTGTCTGTGCTAGCAAATATACAGTTAACAAATTGCTATAAGCAACCACAATCTTTGTCCTGTTTAAAAATCCTCTCTCGTAAAGCACAGGTTGACGCCAGTAAGGCCGCTCAGGTAGCTCTGATGCCATTGTAATAATGTTGTTTTAATTGCTTCATTTTACCTAGTGCGACAAGCATCGTTCGGCTTACTTCCCTATGGGCGTCAAAAAACATGGTTCCATAACGTACGCTATGAAAGCTGAATGCGAGGCTGTTAAGGACCACTCTAGATCAAACAGGCTGCAGAGTACAACATCCATGCTAATTTCCGACCGTCCGTCTCTCTGTAAGAGGGAGTGAGAGAGAGGGAGCGAGCTAGATCTGACGTCATCATGAGATTAAAGTCTCTTCTAACGTGTCGATGAACGACTATTGATCTTATCCAATATGTCCTTAAACCCCTTCAGAACCCTTGCTGCTAGGTATTTGATCAGCAAATGGCTTCTTAGAAATGACGCTACAATTAGCCAGCTGGACACTCGAACATTAGGAATAGGGCTTCAGAAACAATTCATTCAGTTACGAAAAAAACGAGAGCTGCTTTAAAATGAATGTTAAGAGAATAATTTCCTGTGGGCTAACTTCGATCCGAATCGACTAGTTGACAGTGTTAACAGTCTACAAGTGTATCGGTAGCTAATCTGAGCCGATTGAATACACCCATTACATATTGGTGTAGGAAGCAACTCATGCATCTCTCACCATTATACACAGCGATCCATTCAAATTCGAACGAAATTTCGGCATCTACCTATCTACTCATAGTCATTTTCAGCACTTAAAGACCGCCAAATTTTCCTATAACGAAACAATATACTGACCGTGGCGGAAAAACACTTCGTCGTTTGCGCAGCTTAGCGAACGCTGGCCATTGTGTAATGGCTTCAAGCAAGAGATTTAAGGACTTCACCAAAATGGTTCGCGAACCCACTCGTGATACACCTGCTTTTTGTTCGCTTCTTTTTCCTATAGAAATTGCAGTGTTGCAGACGTACTTGCAGAAATTGCAGATTGCGTACTCTAATAAGCTAGAGCAATTAGTCTCTTTCAGACCTTCTGAGCCCTTTTACGCCGCTCGGAACTTTTTGGTCTGTTATTACTACACTTTATCTAGTTTATACCTAACAATGTCACAAAGTTACTTGTTGATCGAGTAGATTCAATCTCAATTAAAAACGGTGTATGGTAGTTCTATTAAGTAAACGCGACCGTTAAAAGCGACGCATGAGAAAAGGTCTTGTTGAAGTACCTGTTTTTGGTTAGATACAGCCTTAGACAGAAAAAGCTCTAAACAGAAAATGTCTAAACTTGGAGACCGGAGTAAGAGCCTGTAGAGTCACATAGATCACATAGCATAGCTTATAGAATCACTTAATCCTCTATGGAATCATTTAGTCGACTTAATTATAATAGATGTTAAAAAACTTGACTACAAACTACAACGAAATTGATATTAAAAAGCGGGCAGTTGCAACGTTTCTGGAATTTCTCGACCAAAGCTAAGAATCATAAAGTTTTCGCAGAATTTTTATCCCATACAGTGCTCGTAGGTAGTGTTTTTTCTTATATAAATTTCTTAGAAAAGTAAATAAATTTTTCAACAAAAATCTAATAAATGAAGTATCAGACACAACTGGGATCGTCGGTTTGGTGTGCTATATTCGCCATATTGCCATGCGCTTCAAATTCTGTGTACGTTGAATTACCTTTAGGGGAAAAGAGCGACTAGCTATATGGTACTACTTGCTTGGTATATGGTACTTGCTTGATCAAAGAAGGCAAGTGCCATATTTCTCTATAAACTTTTCCTTTCTAAGCCAATGAGTAGACCCGTTAATCTTGAATAACGTGCAGATGAATTATGGATGGCGGCAGTAAACTACCGTCGACATACTGCATAAGTAGCTGATGATTTGATTTTGAAATACATACATTTTTGTTATTGAGCCTGATAGATTTTTTTGGTCCAATGAAAAGAAACTACTCATAAGATATATGTTCTGGTCATTGTCGATCTTATTTGGGCTTTTCAGAGTCCCGTTTAATTATCTGGCTATAAATAGCTAATTTTGCTTTGTTTTCGAATATTATTCGATCGAGTTTTCGGCGTTCTCATCCATACTTTTATACCTAAGGCTTCATAGCACGTGAAAATAGTTGTCTTACGCCAACTCCGAGGATCGCGTTCCTAGTACGCCCTGTAGCACGGTAATTACCATCATATAGTTGCAAAAATAATAATCTTTCTCAACATTCACGTTGCACGATATCAAAACAGAACACTTCCTTTTTTAGTTAATTATTGCTCTAGACGGCCGACTCCTTTGAGGCAAAATGTGCCTACCCCTAAACTTTCTTGAACCCACATTTACTCAGAAGTAACTAAAGTTAGCGGGTAAATAACTGGCCAATAAACTATCATGGAAACCTACTGGAATCTCATCGTTTCCGGTAGTTGTATTAGTAGATAAAGAGAACCGATCTTCATGCTATCAGCTATGTAAAATATGTTTATTTTTATGAAAAAATGCATTTCAATGATTCAGTTAACAAGGCTATCTCCAAAGGCTAAACACTTAACATCAATAATCCCCCTGATAATATCGCCCTTTTAGAGAAATAGTTTACCCGTCCCATTGAGTCTACTAATTTGTAACACAATAGAATGATCAACATGGTTTGCCAAAGGGATGAGTTAACGTTAGAGCCCTATCAATCATCAGTCAGTCAATGAAATGCGACCACGGATCATGTAATTTTGAATTTAACACCCTGCCCCACTTCGAATTGAATTCTTATCCTCTTAATAATAAATATGATTGTTGTTCTAATTTAGTCAAGTGAGACAAAGAAGTGAAATAATTTACAGTTGGAAAATGTATAGTTAAATGTAATACTTATAATAATAAACCAAATAATAACCTTATAAAAAAAGGAAAATTATTTTTCTCTAAAATAGAAAATTTTCCACTAGAAATAAATAATTGAAACTGACGAGGATTCCGTAGGAGTAGAGAAGATACCCTGTTATCTAAGACCTATTGTGTTATCATATTCGAAAACGTCAATTCATTCTTTTTCTTAGTAAAGAACCTTTGCATATCTATATGTAATGGTACGCTGATTAACATAAGCTTGTTTTCAGACAAGCTACTCAACCCGGCGATAGAGCAACAAATCTTCATGTTGCATCAATCGTTATGTATGCAAGGACGGGACACAGTATTCACTGCGTCTCGTCACTACATCTCACCGTGCCTCGTGTTCACACGAGGTATTCAATGTATTATTTTAACATATAACTTAATTTACGCTAACGTTCTAAGAGACACGATTGTATTTCATCATTTTCTCTATGCCGATAGAACCTATGGATTTGTATTGCACTCCATAGTAGACTGTAACGTCGAAGCGACTAAGGATTTTAGCGTGACAGAATTGCAAAAATTGTACATAACCCTTTTGCTATTCGTAAGAGGTAAATTAAACCATAATCTGTGCCATATGCGAAGGCGTCGTCCATGTGCAATACAGGGAATCACACGTTTCCTTGTTCATGATGACAAACAGCCAGCAAACCTATAGATATCGATTAAAAGAAAATATAATCATGAAATTCTGTTTCAAACTGCGAACTCAGCTGATTCCAACCTTGTTAGTCCATGGACGAGTTCGACAGATTCGTATCCATGACGACAATATCGATAGGTAATTATGCCAGTAAAGTGATGATAGGATGTTCTGGTTGGTGACACCGTTATTCGAAGTTATGCGTTTTCTAATCGTTGAACTAGTTTCATTGAAATAGCTGGCAATAGATTTACCAAAGTGCGTACTGCTAGAGACGCACGTTGAGCTTCAACGTGTTTCAAGAGCCAGCTTACAAGTATTGAAGTACAGCCTGTGGAACCGTCGCGTCTTTGGGATGGAACTCGCAGACTTCTGGAGCTTGCCTGAAAATGACTGCCAAACATGGTCAGACCGGCGTGAACCGATCGGTCTGGACAACGTTCAGTTACTGTCAATCGATGTTACGGTTTATAGGAGCGCAATTACGATTGTTGTTTATATAGAAACTGTAATCTTTGACCAAACAGCTGACAGATAGCGCAATATCAGTATAGTGTGTCTTTTAACCCCTAATTTCTATGGCTTCTTTAAGCTTTAGGCTTTAAGTGAAAGGGTTGCATGACTGACAAATTGATGGTGATCATCATCGCCAACATCACCTATGATTTTACGAACCTTTGTATTACATTATGGATTAGTAACCGTGAATAGGGAAGCAGAAATCTAGAACGAGAAATCAAGACAGAGCTGTAAATAGATGGAAAATATTAGGAGGATCACAAAGCACTGTGTTCAGAGGCCCCTAATATAGTCAGTTGAGTATCTCGTCCGGAAGCACGTTTAGCGTTTCAGATAGTTTTATTGGCCCCTAACGAGATGAACTCTTTCCATAGCCCAGCCAAATTTAATCCAGTTGTAAATCACCGAAACACAATCGAGACGAGTACCTCACAAATACGGCTCCCGGACCTCTCTGTCAACTGAATTATCTCTGACCTTACGTTTACTTCTGCGTTCACTACTGCTCACTGACGATAGAGTCTCAGCAAAGATGCCTGTCAGGCTAGCTCCCGGTAACTTAGTTCTAACAGTAAACTAACGTCAATCGCATTTTCCCGCCCAATAGCACTGCTTTGCTCACGAAAAATTTGCAATTTATCCGAACAGCGTCTATATAACGAGTCCAGTAAGTTCCTCTGTTGGATGGCGCGACGTTGAAAGAAAGTAGCGCAATTGACTGGCCTATCCTCTTACCTACAATGTGCTTTTGTCACTTGATAGCTTCGTCTCTCGTTCGAGCATGTTTTTAGATACTTATGTGCGTCGCCTATCAAAATAGGAACTTCTTGTTTCTGTTTTAGCCTTCCGAGGTACATTTGCTAGATTCAGGCACAAATGCAACCGCAATCCGTATGTATTGTATTTATGGTACAGGTGAATGTGAAATTTCGTCATTTTATGTTTGAATTTATTTATTTTACGAACGCATATTAAATTATTGAGCCTCTTCGATTTTTAAAGAGGACATAATAACTCGGCTAATTTTTCATCTTGATTATTATCATCCATGGACAGCAGATAGGACATGTAAAAACGGGTGTATTGTCTGTAATTGAAATATGCTGTTATTTTAATGTTATAACAGCAGGGTGTATTGTGTATACAACACAGGGCTGTAATGTCGTGAAAGTATCATGTATGCATTTAATATAATTCCAAGTTCGATCCTTGGAGTGAGACTCAGTTCTTCGAGGTAAAGAAAAAATCAGATCACAGACATGGTATGATATAATGAGACTGACAACGGCAAACTCAATGGCTACCTTAAGAAAAAATCTAAATAACCTGACAAATTGTACAGCTGTTACGGTCAAAAATACTTATTTATAACGTTTATATACATTACCGGTATGTTGCTGAAGTCATTTAGGTTCCATTGTTGGGCCTTTATCGTGAGTTCAGAAGCGTGCGACCTGCATTGATTATGCGGCGGTCATCACAGCCCGTCTTTCAAATAATTTAAACTTCCCTCCTTACTTATATATCTGTCTCTGCTAGTGCGCAGTTAGTTGATTTTTGTGATACTACAACACATTCTAGACCCATTTGATGGCTTGCTGACTCCTACTATTCAATGTTTGTGTGTGTCTCTGTGGGCTTGTCTGTGACCTGAAATATAATTTTTCCCTTTATTCTTTTGTTACTGCTCTGATTCAGCACGCTCTCGCCTCGCATCCAATGATGTCATGCTCGTGTCCTTCTAAACTCCGTCAGTACACTAAAGCTATCGGTCCCCCTCTCTCACGAGCCCTCTCATCCCAACGAACCAGTCAGCCGACGTCGCTTATTCGATACAGCGGTAGAGCAAGCGTTGGCGGGTATCCGTTGTACCCTTGATGGTTCGCTTGTGGTTCGTTTGTGGTACCGTCTTGTCTGGCACTACTTTCGTTCTCTCCAGGCTTCAACCTGCGGGGTGAGAGAACAGCGGAATCTTTTTGCGGCCGCTTTGGTAGCGACATCGGCCCCCAACCAGCAACGACCGACAACGCGTTACTATGGCCATAAATAACATGTAGTGGTAGTCGCTTGGATGAGAAATGAATGTCGCTTGATTCACTAAGGCTTCCCTGTTTGCTGAACTGGCTTGTGTATGCGTTGGTTACCGCCGCCATCTTCGAAAGGAGAGGCACAGCTAACCTCTGTCTGAATCTGCAGCCGTCGGTGCTGGATAGCCAAGCAACCATTGAGCTGTGCTTGCATTCATAGATACCGTCGTTGTACAGCGGCCATATATTTCATTTAGTACTAAAATAGTGAGTGACAGAAGAAGAAAACAAGTTTTGCCTAACATTAGGAATCAACACCGTACGATCAAATAGTCAGCTGGTATCTTTACAAGCGACTCTGTTCATTTCGTATGGTACATTTGTATTATTATTGTAGGCCGTATGATACAGTGAAGCCTATTGGAGATCGATTGAGAGAGGAACCCTTGTTTTCATTAGCTACAGTCCGTCTTTTGGATACCCTCGCGCTGTTTCAGCAGTTGATAGTTCAACTTAGTGTGTCTCCTATCCTATGTTGTGCTGCGTATCTCATACAAGTCAGTCAATCCCTTTAACGTATTCGCATTGAATTCGCTGCTTGTAAGCATTCACGTGCAAACCGAGCGTCAATTACCTATTTCATTGTTGGTTACGGTACGTAGATTGTCGTCATCAGGGCTTCATATTGGCTCTTTCGCCATTTGTTGTACGACTGTGTGGGTCGATCGCTATCCATCTGAAATAGACTGAAGTCTATGAAATATTTCTCTTTTTTGAGCAGATTGTATTGTTTTATTGCCGCCCTTTGAGTCGGCATCTTTACATCCAGCGCCTGTCAAACGAAGGAGGACACACAAGGTCAAGAGCTCAACTGCTGATGTTATATTCGACCTGTATCTTTATATGAGACAACTTGTGCGTCCGCTCTGTAGAGATTTGCTATTGAGGCCCATTTTCCCTATAGAAACGGTTCAACGAGCGAAAACTCTGGAGTGGATCAACAAATCGGACGTACATGTAAAAGACTATTGATCGACAAAATCATTAGCGAGGAACGCTCCTTAAAAATTCTTAAATCGAGAAGACTAGAATATCCGTCGGTAGTCATACTGCGCAAGCACTGACCAATAAAATAATGGCTCCTGGAACAGTTGTCAATCAGAGTCCAACTCGACCCCTTGACCTACCCACGACCACGATAAATCAGTCTCCAAAACAGGTCTCGCCTTCAATGATAGCAACCTCGTCGTCGCTGCCCAGTTTGGCCCCTATGGCAGCAGTCGGTGCCCTAAACAATACGACAGGACCTTCTAAGAAACAAACCATGAAATCCTCTACTTCGACGCGATCGACGATACGGCAACCACAGCCGTCTACAACTCTAGTGAAGGGCGGAGTCAGTAGCGGTCGAAAACCCAACTTTGAATTGGAAAGCGTAAGTGTACGACCCTCTTTATTAAACCTTTTAGCTACTATTATAGAATTACGCACCTTATAATCGGAATAGAGTCAGGTACATATTTGCTCCCTTAACCCTAAATAGCATTACGTTAAGACTATTCGCTACATATTGCGTTTGGTAAGACCAGTGTTGAATGCACGCATATTCGAGTCCCGTCTCAAGGGAACGCGAACAATTTTTTTCCCTGAAAAACCCAATTCAGTCTGAAAATATGGGATTCTTATCGTAACGTTTAAGTTTGGTAGGCAAACACATTACCTTTACGTAATCACGCAGACAGCAACGGGAATGTAGCCGCGTTTTCCGAAAGCACTTCGGTTTTTCTTAAATTTTTCAGCGAAAACAGTTATGGTAACAGACACTGCCAGTTCTTATTTAGCCTATGAAGGCTTTGTAGATTCTTAAAGACCCTGAATCTCTGAGTGCGACTCTGCCGTGGTACATTGCTTCAGACAACTGGATACCCGAGATAGGACGAAATGGAGCGTGTCCATGCCCCATGTTGAAATCAGATTAGCTCATGTTTATTTAATTTTAATAGGCAAGTACGGTACTACTTCTTTCCTTTAAAGACATGGAGCCTATGATTTGCAATTAGAGCTTGGTAGGTATATATGATAGGTATTGAAATAACTGTTTAATCCTCTTTCGTTCGAAATATTGTGAGTGTTTATTATTACCATTATTATAAGTATCGGTAAACTGATCAAAAGATCAGCTGCACCTAGCTAATCAAGGAATGAGTTAGCTACGATAGTTGCATCCGTATAGCGTTTATCAACATATTTGACTGTCTCTTGCAATGAATATAGAGATAACAGCTACATATCGGCAAATGTTGATAGCGTGTTCTATGTGTATAGTATGGCGGCCGACGACTAACACGGGTGGCAAATCTTAACTCGGCAGCGACACGACTGTGCAAATATGTAAGACACAGTTCCAGTAAAATAGTACTAACCAGCTAAAGGGTTTTAAGAGCGTTTGATATCATTTAGCATTACTTTTTAAACAGTTAGACGTCTTGGAATTGAAAATAAACTTGGACGTAATAGTATCTCGAATAACGTTACGCACAAAAAGGGAAAGATGAGGTATATTTCAGTTTTTGCAAGTGGAAAATTACTTTTCTAAGCGCGCAGCTATTTCTACTTGGCTTCTTATTTATATCTTGGTTCAAGTACGCACTTCATCGTATTTTCAATGAGTCATTTATGTTAAATTATGTATAATACAGGTGAGGTTGTGATATGGGATGCGTTCCATCTTCGAACTTATTTTCTTGAACAAGAAAGCAAGGTGCTTGGTTTAATGAAAAGCCAAAATCTGTCTACCATGGGGATAAAACGTGCCAAAATTAATTCTTGTTCCTCATATATATTTAGCTTATCCATACAGAAGATTATTTAATAATTACTTGATTCATTTGTATAAAAGGAGATCGCTTTTCATTACAACTGGTATAGCCATCAGTCTCAGAGCTCTGTGTATATTGCCTCGCACGTGTGTCCGAAAATCAGAGCTCACTTTCTTCGAGTCTAGTGGCTGGTGTAACGTTGTTGTCGTGCCATTACCGTACTTCAACACACCCTAGCCCAGTTTAGGCATTACTAGATTTGAGGCTCATTTTGAGAAACATGCATAACTAGCCTGCTGACTGTTAGCAACAGTTCAACCAACAAAGTACCTACTCAGATGGTAACTGAGTCAGGCCTGTTTAATGATAACTCAACGCCCCTAGTAACGATGCGCTGCAACTCACTTTGTTATCTTTAGTTTATTGCCACAAGCCACTACAGTACACGGTATTTATTTCGAACTCTTAACATGTGAAACTTTTCCCTAATATAGCACAATACAGACTCTAGTGAATAATAATACCAACATGAAGGCAAGTAAGAATTAGTAACATGCAGTTGTTGATGTGTCACGCCAGTAATTTGAGCTTAGGCTTAGGTTAAAAGACTTCATACGATTGTTACACTACTATATCATTGTTAAAGCTTCAAGGGGGAGCGCTTCATTAGGATTCTGCAAGTTCTCGACTGTTAATACACACATAATTATATGGCTAGATAGTCGTTCGTGCGGTCCCTGCAAACGCTTCTGTCGTCTGCTATTACTTCTGTTGGCTTTTGGTGGCCCCGAAGTTGCGTTGGCAACCACTAGACGTCTCATTAGTATTTTTTCTACTGGCGTAGCGTCATCATTGCACCGACAACCGCTTTAGCCAGCAGCCGCTTAGTCTGGAAGGGCTTACGAACGGCTCAAATGCCTGCCATCGGTTGCATACACGTAAGTTGTTGCTGTGCGTCTGCTATAGATCAGCTTACCGTTCTGTAAGGAAGTCCTCAGGAGCATCTTCGGTATGACTAAAACCAAAGTATTGGCCAGTAAACTGCTGGCGCTATTGACGCAGGGACAAGACGCAGGACGTTAGTTTGCGTAAGTCAAACCAGGGGATGACTTCCTCATACTAGCGGACTGCTGTGCTTTTAATTACCAGCCAAAGACTTACTGTGAAATGGAGTCGGAAGTCTGTACAAGGACTGGTGGTTGACTTTATTGAACACTGCGCTGAAAAGTTACGAAAACAAATGGTCTACAATTTTTGTAATCGAGTGAACACTCGGTCTCAACGGGATTGAAGCGGAATGTAGTTGAAAAACTCGATCAGTGATACACACGAGTTTCAAGATATTATTACTGCAGAATTTCTGAGCAAGGAAAATATTGTAGAAGAATTTAGACGTAAAAAAATCAACATACGAGGGTCGATTATGAAATCACGAGTCCACAAATTTATCTGAAAGATATCACATAGGCAGGTCTCACAAGCGTGGATGAGATTCTATAAGAAATCTAAACCAGATAAAAAAAATACCTTTCTATTACCTTTTTATTACAGTGACGTTCGAGACTGAAAAAAAAAACGTCCAAATATAAAGTTACCCCAAATGCCATTTTACTTATCAAACAAATTACTCAATGATAGTAAAGATACGATACTTTGGTAAGCAAATTAAATTTTAAATAAACAATTGGTTTTTTTTTTTAAAAAAACAAGCTGGTTCGAGTTTATGTTCTGTATAATAAACTCTGGAAGCGCTAGCAGTGAGTAGACTTTTTCATTAAGTTTTCCGTTTGGCGCTAGAATATTCTAATGTTTATTTTCTTTATGATTAGCTTTGCCCCTGAACGTTGGCGTCACCGCGTTTCGTAAGAGTTGGTGTCATTCACACAGGTCCGATCGAACTCGGATACCCAGTTCGCGTATATTCTAGTCCCGTCTAAAAGAGTACAGCTGAATGGCAATGTTATCTACGCAAAACAGTTTGTTGCACAGTCGTATCGCCGGTGAATATCTACGTGAGATGAATGAGCAACGCGATCAGAATGTTGAACGAAGATCAGACGTTTGGCTCGGTCATTGTAGAACGTAAATAGACTCGTCCGATACATTTTGCGCATCCGATATGATTCAAGGTGATTAGGTTTTATTTTTAAGTTAGTGAAAGAGCAAAAAACTGTGTTTTTTCTGTGCACAAAACTTACAGTAAGTTTTGTGCGCAGAAATGGCTAAAATGCGCTGGAATAAGAGAAAAGTATTATGTTCAGGAATTTGCAGTATTCCAGCGCGATATCGGTTAGCTTTCGCTCTAAGATGCTCTACATAACTACAGTTATAGTAAGTGCAGTTGTGTACAGCATTTTAATAATATTTAAATTGGAATTTCGAGACAAAAAGCTGCCTGAGGCATAAGGGCGCTGCAAAAATTCAACCCCCTGCGAATTTTACAACTTCATTGGCACTAAACCGTAATCGGTTGAACATCGGTTCGTGAGTCATGAATGATACTTTTAAGCGTATAGCCATCTCTAGGGAAATCCAAAAGGGACTAGATGCGAATACAGCTTAGAAGTTTTTGACGGAGCGGCAAGTGGAGTGAAACGTACTACACTCAACTTTCTGGGCGACTCTTTCCATCAAGCGTCCATAAACTCTATAACTGTCTTCTGAAGCAATGTCTAACATCCGAAATATAAGTAAAATATGAAATATTTATTTAACCTTTTAACTAGCTACTGTAATTATACTTACCTTTGAAAATTGTTTAAGGTTCGCTGACATACCGCAAGTTCCTTGATGTGACAAAGTCATTCTAAATATGCAACGTGTATACGCTTGGCCCATCAATTAACATCAAGGTTCGATCAATTTTAATTCAACAATTTTTAGAACGGAGACGGGGCAGAGACTTTTATGTTGTAAATATACTGTGATAACGTTGAGCATTGAGAAACATTGTCTCTGCTGTTTGCAAATATAGCTTTGATTACAAATGAAAGGTAAACGATATGAGCGGCGTATGGTCGATCTGTTGGCGGCGCGATGATATTTTGGAATGGACTTATGTGATGGAATCTATTGTGCAGTATGTATCGACGGCAGAGCTCAACCAAGCGGCCCTGGCTTTTTTTTATCAGTCGAATACATAGTCCTCCGAGCTATCGCGTAGATAGTAAGCAAGGTAATAATAAGGGTATTAGTTTTGCATTTACGTTATGTTCATGATAAATAACGATATATTATTGTTGTCTTACATGTAAAAAGCCCTTAGCCATACGCTGTTTGTACATAACTGCACAGGATTGACAAGCAAGCACAATTACATAGCAATTTAGATGTCATTTATATAGTATAGGCTGTGAGAACACGCGAATCGGTCTATTCACAATACCCGTAGAGCTGCTGTTTACGCGAATTGAGATAGTACTGTAACATACGTCGGCTATTAAATGACCGATAAAATGTTTCGTGGCCTGTTTCGAACACTTAAACCATCTCAAGTTCCTGAAGTTAGTAGGCAAGGACGGTACCAGTGAACCGTCCAGAGAACAACCTCGTTGTATGCTTTTGTCTTTGCCATTAGCACTACTCACGGTGCTACCTGTCTGTCTCAATCTATTTCTGTATTTGATTATATCATTAATGCTACCTGAACAGTTCCATATAGCAATGGAAGACGGAAAAAAGCGAGCCATTGAATATATTCCGTCTTTTATATCTGGATGATGGCTGGGGTCTTTACATCAGTTACAATACTTAACCTGGTGGGCACTTTTAATGCGCGTCATCTTGTAAATAAATTTCAGTCAGGCCGCAGGCCACAAGTAATGTTGACCATGTGGAAAGTTACTTGTCACTGGCCAGTATATTCCGTTAGGCCTATGATGTAACGGATTGCGACTCGTGTGGAATTAAATGCTTACACTTTCGCTATCCAAACAAGTTTCGTTTTCCTATTTGCATATGCACGTGCGATCGAATATATTTTTCTAGACACTCAACTCTAGCCTCTTTAAATAGAACAAGATAACGATTAAAATTATCGGTTACAGATTGCTATTATATGAATATTCATTAATGTTAGGCGGTTACAGGTATACATACCTGTTTATTAAGTTCACCGATGTCTTGAATTCTGCCGGAATTTACACATTAGTATATATTTCATGTTCACAGGAAAAACAAGCAAAAAACAAAGGGTAATATGCATTAAAAGGTGTCTGTTCTTTCAGACAGTTGAACATTTTCCGTGGTTTTTCACCGTGCTCGTCGTTAGATTTTATGGTCAGCCTGCGTCATTCGGCCTGTCGACCGTGACTGTGTGCGGTTCACAATTAGTAAATGTCTCATCGGAAAAGCTCCAAAATGATTTTTCCTCTTTTGGCCGTTAAACGACTAGCCCTATAACTCTCGATTTTTTTCAAACTGTTTCATTTGTATAGTTCTGTAGAGACCAACAGAATTGATTGAATGTTAGCGGGAAGTGTATGTAGTTCTACATTTGTTGATAACCTTTTCGTGGTTTCGAGGTCGAGCATTTTGCTAAAGACGTACCATGTAAAAATCCATATCTCATACCAATAGACGACATTGCAAGTACGGTGAGGTCACTTCGATTCAACACCTCTAATTGGATTGTACCGATAAAACCGAAGGCTCTGACCACAGTGTGTACTCTTGAGAACAAGGTTATGAACTTGCTGTGCAAATAACACTCTTAGAATTATAAAGTTAGAAATCAAGAAGTTGTTTCAGCAACGACAGTCACTTGAGCTATGCGAACCAGGTATATTCAATTTCTAAGATATTAAAAGGTATGTAAAAGTGTGAACCAAACCTAGGAAGCTTAGTGCAGTAAATTAGTCGTGCTGACTATACCCGGCAAACATAAGGGTTGATGTTATAAATTGGCTGTGTTCTCTGGTAACAGCTTATAATTATGCGTTTCATTGCTACTATTACGGATAAAGAGTGGCTCATTTTATGCGGAAGTAATGTTACCGAATTTTGCGAAAAAACATTAACAGCTTCGAATTGCTATAGGTAAATCGACGGCTCAACGTCGTCTCTAGAAACCTATTAGTTTACATGCCTGCCTTGTCGTCGGGAAAATGCAGTTTGAAATAATGAGACCGACTTGGCAGGAACAGCGCAGTATCCATGAGTACCTAGTATTTCATTAAGAACATTAGCGGCACGCAACTTTTTTGCATTCGTATCCTCCTCTTTGCCTACATATGTCCTCGGTGTCAACTCTTCGCTATAAAATCAAAGGACCGGGGAGGTCTAGGTTTTTCGGGTGTCACGTCTGATACTGCCGTTCAAATATCGCTTCAGACGGCTGACTGCTAGCACGGAACAAAGTGTGGTTTCAAACCTATGCCACCTGATGCGTCCATAAGTTTAAAGGGCAGGCATATTACCACTGCACCATTACGGGACGCTACATAGAGTCTAACCAAGGTGGATTTTGTTCCCATGATGATTCAAGGACAACAATTTTTTTCTACGCCTAGAACACGTAGGTTGGTTAGTATTGAAGTTGGAGTAAGAGGTTGGGTAGAAATGAAGTCGGTTGTTAGACACCCTTTGTTTCGTGCCGAATGGACGGTAAAGAGACGCTCAACGGATATATTGGAGAAGCGGGTGTAGCAAACATTTTCTTTGTTCGAGTAGATATTTGTCTGGAGTTACTTCGCAGCACCTACAAAACGGCATGGTAACCATCTCTTTATAGCTATAAGCCTAATTGTTTTCATGTGTAGTAACCATTTCTGCTATTCCTTGAAAGTTTGGACTACTACGGTCGTCTGCTTGATCGTTATGGTTTCCATGGCGACGCACACCTTCATAAGATGTACGATTACTACCCAAACCAGACTGCCCCGGCACGCAGAGCTTGATTACCATTAAGTGAAGGAGGATATGTCTACCCACGAGAATAAAAGGGTGAAATTATTACTCGATGTTAGTAATGGCGGCCGTTCATTGCTCTGTGTTAGTCGAGCTAATATCAACTGCAGCGATAGAATAATAGAATGACCAACAGAAGCAAGTGAGGATATTTTACAGAACCACAAGTCACACGGATGCCAAGCCACGATATTATGTAAGCTACTCCTGCTGGACTACGAGCCAGGGATTTGGTTTGCTACGTTTTAAGGCTGTGGTTTCGTTCATAGGTTAAATAACTTCAAAAGTTCACACATTTTGTTGTATAAAATTTCGACACTTGAATCTTATTAGGCGCGTCTCTTTATAATAGGTGTTTATTTAGCGATTACTGAGATTGTTCTTCTTGTTTGCAAGTCTCCATTGCATGACTGTGGATACCTGATCGATCGAAATTATACACCTTGGTAAATGGGTAGAGGTGTTCTATAAAAGCACCAGTATACCATACGACTACAGCATTTCGGGATATTTACGTACTTTGTTAGGTAATAGGCGATATTTTGTATAGTTAATGAGTAGACATTACATAATAACATTACATAAGAACTATACACGTTCGCATTTACGATTGATCTCAAACCTCGTCACTATATCCAGTTCCAAATGGGAAGGCACTGCCTAAAGTTTGTTTTTAGTATATATCAGCCTTACTTAAATAACAGGATTTCACTACCATTATTGGCGTCATATTTCGAATATCGTTCGTAGTTGGTTGGATTTTTAAATCCGTTTTTTTCCTTTTTTCTTTCGTTGGTTTCAGGATCGGCTTAGGTCATTTGGGTCGTGGCCGTCAACGGCTCCTATTTCGAAAGAAAAAGTAGCCCGCGCGGGCTTCTACTACCTCGGCAATGGACTCGAAACAGCTTGTCCAGTTTGTAAGCTTGAAGTGTCTGATTGGGCCTTTAATGACGTCGCGTTCACAAAACACCGCGACCGAAGTCCTCAATGTCCGTTTGTTCTGAAACAAAGCTCGACGATCGTGCCCCTTGACGAAAGGATGAAACTGCCCGAGCAGCGTCTGTTGACATTTGAGCGCTGGCCCAAACGGGACGTTGACCCACAGAGGCTGGTAAACGCCGGATTCTATTATCTCAATGAAGGCGACAAGGTCCGATGTGCTTGGTGCAAGGGCGTTATCGAACAGTGGCAAGCAACAGACGTGCCATTCGAGGAGCATGCTCGTAATTTCTCTTGCTGTCCGTTTATACTCAACCCGCCAGCGTACGCCTGTCGTGGTGAAGACGAGGTTGGGCATCGCAACATGTACTCGTTCTCGGGTGCACCTGCCAATCAAAACTTGTGCAGTGACATTGCCCTCCTGAAGGGCGTAATTCGACACGTAGGGCCAAAACAACCGCATATGGTTTCACAAGGCAGTCGTATGGCGACATTTACTGAGAACAACTGGCCTCAAACAGTGAACGTTTCCCCCGAAGATCTTGTTGAAGCCGGCTTCTTCTTCCTTGGCATGCACGATTACACGAAATGCTTCCATTGCGACGGCGGTCTGTGTAATTGGGAGACAGGTGACGACCCCTGGGTAGAGCATGCCCGCTGGTTCCCTGAATGTCAATTCGTTCAGCTAAGCAAGGGCGGAGCATTCATCGCTGAGTGCCAACAACGTCACGAAAAACTAGTTAATGGCGCGGTAGCCCAGGCAGAACTTCAGGCTTTTAGTGAAGTAGAACCGGGAGGAACAGGCAGTGACTCAAATCTTCCGCTTCATTTGAGAACTGAGCTTGAAGAAATAATGCAGTCGCCCGTCGTCAAGTTCTACCTCGAGAAAGGTGTACCGAAACAAGTGATTCGAATGACCGTAAAAAAATATATGCTTGACAACGAGCGCGGTTTCCGTGATCTTGACGAAATTACACACGTACTCGGACAGGTGCTCAGCTTCGGCAACAAGAAGACTGCGCCTGCCAATGAAAAAGGTAGGTGGATACCGGATATTTGTCGGGAATTCAATGCAGCTGAACCCGATGAGGTTGATTCAGAATTGGCATACAATAGAATAAAATTCATATTGTACCAGAATAACAGTTTTACTTTTCCGAGCGAGACAAAAGCAACAACTTAAAAAATAATGAATCGTGATGCATTATGATTTGGTTTGTCAAAAAACTGCTGCATGTACCCTATCCGATTGTTCAACGCATGAAATATACTGTTCTCACCAGTCACCTCACTAGTCACACGTATCTTCGGATTTATCATTGCTATGATATACATTTGTGCATAGCTTAATTATGAAATATTTTGCTAATCTAATGCTACATGAATTTTTATTTTCACCCGTTTGCGCAGATTAATTTAATAAGCTATTTGAACGCTTACAAACGATTCGCCTATTCTTGTTGTTTCTTTTTCGCAGAGCAACGTAATCCGGCCGAAATTCCTGAGAACGTGCTATGCCGTGTATGTATGGTTCAGGAACGGGGTGTGGTATTTCTTCCATGTGGTCATCTGGCCACTTGCCCCTCGTGTGCAGCCAGTGTAACAGAATGTGTGATGTGCCGGACCCCAATCGCGGGTACTTTGAGAACATTTCTTTCGTAATCTTCGCCTGCCTCGGACAGCTATTTAAGAGCTGTTTTTCCACGAAATAAAAACATCAATATACCAGCACAGGTCTTTACTGGAAATGGTTATCCAACTGGAAGACTATATGCCTTTGTAGTATAATGTCCTACAGGATGTCTACAGCGTCCTTGCAAGGACGATGAACAACTAAGCCTGCTGCTGCCCACATAGCGCCGTACATCGCGAATTCAGCAATGCGTAGGCAAGTCGCTGTCACTACAGAGGACGGCCGGTAGCGGAAGAAAGCAAAAAGTGCCACCGTAAGAAAGCACTCTTAGTCGAACGAGTATATTGAAATTCAAATCGCTGTCTTCGCCACAGCATATAGCAACGATTAACAGTGAAGTTCCTCAAATGCAATGCAGCGAACTTCACTACGATAGTAACGAAACAACATCGATGGACTCTTGGTTCTGTAGTTTTAAATATTTTTGTGTTGTTTTGACGTTATAATAGAACATATTCAAACCTATGTCGGTATAAATTGCATGCTAATTACGTTAACGCCTCAGTCGAATTTGAAAGGTAGACCAATATGAAATTCCCACCCATGCTCGTCCCTTTGGTAGTACCACAATCGTGGTACCAGGCTTGATGCATAGAATTGATAGCAGATTACTGTAATAAGAATACAATATGAATGAACATTATTAATATGCTGAAAACATGATAAATAGAATACTTCATAAAGAAGAAGCATTATTACATAGCTTTATGAAAAAAAAACCAGTTTGCCCGGGTAAATGCGCAAGACAAAAGCAACAGTAATTTTCCGCGGCGTATTTGTTGTATAATAGTTAAATTTTTTTCAAGATTAAGATTTTTGGATTGCCGATCTCATATCTGTTATGGTGATCATGAAGACTGTAATGAAAAGTATACAAAATACAGGGATAGAAGTATAGGTATATCATGCCAGGTTATACGGGACATGTACAATGTACCCAACAAAGCACGTATGCATCAGCATATTAACAGCTTTTATAGTTAAAGGCTAGAGGAAGTGCCCCGCAGGGCTCAGGACGATAATCCGTTTCGTGAAATAAACGGTGTCGCATCTTACCTGGACATATTTAGATGTCAAATTAAGTAGATTGGTTTCAAAAGCAATTGGCAATCTGTAGGTGTTCATCACTATTAAATAAGTGATAACGACAATACCATTTATAAGCATGTCTATACTCAAGACAATATTTTAAATATATATAAGTAATGAGTGAAACAAAGGAAAGACTAGCCTCAAGAGATTTAGTGGGCATATCTTTCATATTCAGACAATAGACATTAAGATGAAGAAAGCACAACTTGCGGAACTATGAGGTGTCCTTCGTTAAAAGACGTTAGAAGAAGGCTTTTTTTGTAAATACATGTAGCAGATGTAATTGCGCAAAAAAATTAAAGCAAAAAAAAACATAGGTTTAAAGGAAAAAACGATGGTGTGCTTATTTGCTTAGGTCCTATTATAAAAGCTAACCACTTATCTAAATTATTCATTATGCCACTTATAATATAAATCATTGGCCCTTACTCTTCCAGATTTTGTTTTTTGTTTATTATTTCATTTGAATTTCAGTGTTAATCGGTGATATTGTGCTATCATGTTTTATAACATACAATTAATTAATCAATACAGTTAATCAAGCTATATTACACAACATGTGTTATTGAATAAAGAAAGCTCAAGGTACAACATCTACTTGAAATTCATTGAGGGAAAAGTCCGTGGTCAAAAACGACTATAGAAGACGAAACTTTTCAATCTATTTTTTTTTCGCTGTTTGAATTTTTAGTCACCCGGTTGTGACGGCATCTCTGTAAGGGGACTGAATTAATGGCATCGCGTAGACTAATTCGAATTGAATTAATTCTAAAAAATTATATTGGTCTATATAGGGGCATAATTTCGTATCTACAATGTATTTGCGCGAAGAGCGCTACAAACAACCCTCACTCTGATTCACCTGTTAAAACGAGTAAGGATGAAAGTGGACAAATTAAAATGAGTTTTGCTTAAGAATAGCCGATTCAGCTTTAGACAGTTTGCAAAAGGATTTGATGTTTATTTAAATTTATATGAAGCATAATAGATTATTTTGAAGGAGTATTCAGCATAAAAAGGAGGTTGTGTCGAAGAAGTAGGTGCAGATTCGACTATAACAATCTGAACAGAAGTTTCAGAAGCCATATGCCAGATCTATCTCCCCGTGACTTCTTTTGCCAAATATCAGGTAACACGTGAAAGGAAATAATTTTTAGACGATCAAGAGGATTCACAAACAAAAGCAAACTATGTTACATTAAGCTCGAAAACCCCATTACCGATTGCAAAAAACGGTGGTACGCGTGTACTGAATCCCGACAGATATTTCATACGGGGAACAACTAGAACTTAATTATTTAAGTATTATTTTATATAAATTTACTTTATTTAACATAAATATAAGTATTTTTATTTAAATTTATTTAAGTTTACTTCAAGTATTTTTAATTTATTGGTACTTTTTTGACCCAACAATATATATTACGATAGTGGTTGTGTTATAATTGTTAGCAAATTATTCCAAAGACTAATTTAGTAAGATTTGGTCTGATTGCCCATTCGCCACCATACGCTACTATAATACTTAGCCTTTACAAGGATGTCCGGCGGGCTTTAAAAAATGAAAAAGCTAGTTGAACTAGAACGTCGATTTTTTTGTGTTAGAGGTGCTCTTGTTGATTTTTTACACATTTGAGCCATTGCTCTGGCAACTCGGACAACCTTTTTACCATTCACGTTCCATGGCTTTTCGAAATAAATCAATAGTGTGATGCGTTTATCCACCAACGATGCTTTTTAGGGCATGAAAAGCTTCATAATTACGCAAATTTGAATCCGAAAAATAAGCGAGTTGAAGGCATTGTTGATATATATTTACTGAATGCAGAAAATAGTTGGTGTTCTGTGACGAAGTCTGGCGTTGTCATCAAGAAATCAGACTGCCGTGCGAACGCTCCTCTTGAGAAACTTAAAAGATAGCGACCTGCAATCATTGTTTTAGTTGCGGCGCGTATCGCATAGTAGTAGATGCCGCTAATGTCTATTTTAAGTCGTCCTGAGATGTAAATAGTTATGACCGAATCTACTCGACACATTTGATTTCTACCTAGGAGTAACTGGTCGGAGTTAATTCACGGGAGACTCATTTTTCATGAAGTTCCCGGATTTTCAGTATTTTTATTATAATTCTGAAACGCGCTACGTGTGAAGTGCCAGATTTGTTCGACAAAACTCTTAACTTCCAACCTCTTTTTTTCGCGAAAAACCTCCTCAGTGGCCGAAACATGTTCTTGTTTTTTGGGTTCGCTTGTCTTTCATATAATGCATGTTTGCTTAAAACCTCCTTGCGTAATATCTTCACTAATCTTCGATAATTTTCCGCAGCACGAGGAACAAAAACTTAATCACGGAGTTTCGATTATTGTGACATATATTTTTCCTTCTGAGCTCATTTCACTTAGAGTAAACTCAACCGGTTTGTTTCGTACTCGTTAAGTTTCTTGAAGGGTAGAGTATTTACCAATAGAATTTCAATTGCTAATGGGGCCTAGAATCGAATGTGGTAAAACTTCAAAATCCGCCAGATTTGGTTGTAGCAGCCTAATATTTGGTCAGTCTGGGAGTTCTCAAGCACAAATGTTGCCAAAAAAAAAGCGGCCCTAATAACGCTACAAATAATCAAATTCAGTTTTCAACCACTGACGAAATCTCTTTAATTTCCTTTTACCTGCTAAATCACTTACTATAAATTATTCCTTATATTTTTCTTACGTTGTTTAATTCTGTACATAGTAATAATATACAGTAATGTCTTCGCAATATTCATGCAAGTTTACAGGAGCAGCCTAGATGCAGAATATAGTTGATGAGCCATGTTAGAAAAGTAAATCAATAACGATAAAGAGAAGATTAAATGCGAAAATGAAAACGAACGCTGAAGTTGGCATTACCCGGAAAATTAGTTTCGCTTGCGGCTCAATGAAACCATAATTATTTTTTGCGTTTTGGTCAGCAGACTTCGGCAACTACTATCGGTAAGACTTTGTTGGATCATTTTTATTTTTATTTGAAATTCTATATATTTATTTACATATCGAATATAAATAAATATATTTAATATAAAATAAAATACGAATATAGGTTTGATGACGAATACGGTGATGATGTACACGTATGTGTATATCATAGTTTAATAATTTTTTAATTTAATTGTTAAACGTTTGACGGAGTTAAAGTGGTGTGAAAATTACAGTATTGGTTTTTACAAAGTATATATATATATAATGATAATACATTTACATACTAAAATGTAGTAAGTGTAAATCACCATCGATTAGAATTTTGTCACAGGAGACACGAGAAACTTAATCTGGTGCTAAGACGTGTTGGCCGTTACTTGAATATTGTTGAATTTATCTAGAAGCTCAAAGAACGTCCTCGCAGTACAAAGTTCATTAACTTTCTATCCCTGCATTGCCAATATCGAGAATAGGTTTATCTCCTGGACTATCAAAGTGAACTTGACTGAACATTAGGAAATCATGACACGACAAAGGCCATTTATGTTAAACGGTTCATTAGTATCATTAATTATTTATTAGCAATTTAATCTGCGCCAGAATGACGTGCGGCCAGTTAGAAAACCGCGAAGTGTATGAGGTCTTCTACAATCGCTCGATTATCATTAGCAGATTCTTCCATAAGTAGCAGCTTCTGTTCCGCTTAAAGCATTGTTCATGTGAAATAACGCTTCGTAAATTAGGGGGCTCTATATTTACGATATTCTGCATTATTATGACGCAGTTGGTTTCACTTGATGTATATTAATATCAACAGCGCCTTGCTTATTCAGGAAAACTACTAAGATCCATATGATTTTGCAAAGATATTTTATTTATTATTTATATTCTAGAAATTAAGACGTTATTTTAATTAATACACACAAACGTCTATATCAGTTTACTAAAATGAGGATCGAATTTTCAAGATATGCTTTGAGTCGGCAAAAAAATTTACACAGATTCTAAAAACTCGAGGAGCATAATTTAAGAATTAATTTGAAAAAAATCACATTTATGTACAAAATAATTAGTCGTTTTTTATTGTAGTCGTGGAATAATAACACAATATGTAGAAAAACATCAGCTCACATAACACCACCTTAAAGAGGAAATACCTACTGAAAATAATGAAATACTACTGAAATAAAATCATTTCTAGGTCTAGTTCAGTCCTATTTAATATTCATACCAAAATTAAGGGATGGATGACTTATGCCTTTTTAGAGAAAAACTGGCAGTTTGAATGATCTGATGATTATACAACAGCAGTATTTAACAGTGTGCAATAAGCAATAAAACTTATAATAACTCTTTTATTATTATACTAATTTTTTACATAATTCTCCCAGTTTTGGTCTGACGAAAAACTAGCACTTGTGACAAATACCTATTCGTTCAGGATCTCACTAATAGGTCAGGGCGTCGTATTGCTTCTCATTCTTGATTTTTTTGAGAAGCGAAACAAAATCGCTTTCAATACAACTGGGAGATACACTACTATACAACTGGTGTGAACAACATAAGTTATTTTATATGGACGGGGGTGACGAAAGATTGAATCGACCTCGACGGAAATCATTTTACATTAATTACTGATCATTGACGACCCGTTTAAATTCCCTTAGGTACTTGCGCTACTTTAGTTTGCCGCTGTTTTTTTGTCACAGAACTTTACAATACATTTTTTAGTATAACTTAACCATGACGCTAAATACCAAAGAGGGAAAAAACGTAACAGTGGAGATTTTTGTAGTAGGTTTCCACAAGAAATAAACGACCAGCAATCAAAAGAAGAACCAAATTGTTATTTCTATAGGTAAGAAGTTGAATTTTCACCCTTAGAGTGGAATGAAATGAAAAAAAGCATTATGCAATGATATATTATCGTATACCATTGACCGATGTTCGCGCAGTCGTCAGTCTCACTGTTACAAAACGAAGAATATATATATATTAAGAGTACAAACTGGCTACAAATTAAGAACACTTGATGTAACATACATGCAGGACCTTTTAATTGCCACAGTTGATCTTACACGTTGACAGTAAGTGAATCGTTTTCAGTGAAGGACATAACGATTTAAACATACACGTGATCGTTTGTCAGGGATTTACTAGGTTCGGTTAGTCACACCTTGTAGTAACGAATCATCGACTATAATTCCAAAGTGCCGTATTTGTCGTAAAATTTATTTAGAAGGAAGATTAGGTCATAAGCTATCCGCGCCATACCATCTTGTTATAAATAAATTTGGAGAGAGAGGTGTACGAACCATAGAACAATACATTAAACAAAACAGGTGATGCAGGATTTATATGAAAATTTGTACTAGCTAAGAATGACCCAGATCTAGAAAACTGCATCCAGAAAAAATTGAAATTATGATGAAGCTAAAGCTACTTTGGCATTCTCTAATGACACAGTACAAATGATTTCCCAAAACTATATCTCTAAAAAATATGTACCGCAGAAACTAATGAACTATTTACTCCAAGTGGTCGGTCAACACCTGGGTTCCAGGTAGTTATAAAAAAGGCCCTACCACCGAGGCGTTTCGGATTCGGAGCTTAGATCCCGAAGAACGTTATC